TGTTGAATTTTCGTATTATCGATTATTTTTAAATAATTGCATTAAAGTATAAATGTAATGATAACTTGTTGCACATTATTAGAGGAGTAAGATTGCATAAGTATTTGAAATTATAAATTTTATAAGTACTATTTTGCTTTTGAATTAAATTAAAATGCTTTTATGCATTATCTTTATGCACGATGCCAAAAAGTATTATACAAATTAATATTTTAATTTTAGATAATAATATTCTGACTTACGTCTCTAAATTAGTTCGTATATTCTAAACAAAATCGTTAGTAGATTCACGTACTAAATGTAATTGTTGTATCTATTAAATAAATAAAATGTATAAATTTGATAACATTTTCTTATTTATCTTTTTTTATATAATAACTTAAAAATTATCAAATAAATATTTTATATTTAATTATAATAAAAATAGGCTGTATGAGCTTGCTCAAAAAGATCAATTAAAGGATGATCCTGATATAAAACATTCAGAAAAGGGGAAAATTTTTTTGGGAAAAATTATACTGTTCCGATAAATTTTAGAGTATACATTTACATATACATTTTATACATCTTTAATAGTTACGTGAAAATTTTTCAAAAGATTTTTTAGGTACGCATCCGGTATCCGGTATTATCTGGCACTTTTTTACTATCCGATCGGATACCGGATATTACATTCTGTCCGGAAGATCCATTCGATATCCGGTAATTTTACGATCCGGTGCATCCCTAGATTTTATTAACATTTACTCGAGTTATACAGTGAGAGCAAAAAGTATTTGTACAAGAAAATTTATTATTAAAAAAGTCTTATTTGTAGAAAATAAACATTAATTAGCAATTTCATACAATGTATACATTCTGTTCTAACATAAACAAATGAGCTTTGCATGCATTCTTGATTTTAGAAGCTGAATTTCTCGTTTGTATGAATACTTTTTGAGCATTCAAACAATTTTTAAATTTTGCTTTTCAGATGATATATTTTGTATAATTAATATCATTTTGATATATACAATTTTAAGAAATATACAGTCTATTTTATTCTTTATGAATAAATTGTTAATTATCCAACAAGAAATGATCGTTAATTAAACGGCGAATCGACGTCAAATTGGTGTTGAAATCATCGAATTTATATTGATTCGACATCAATTCGATGAACTCATTTTTCGCTGGATAATATTTACTTTTTGAAAATAAAGTTTTTTTTAAAAAATATTTTCTCTGTACAAATATACTTTTTGCACTCACTGTATATAGTATGCCACATCACATAAAGCGTTTTGCGAGACCTTAATTTGCCGTTGACATTGTAGTCTATCTAAATGATGTAAAACAAAAAAGTAAGATACATTATCATATGATATAGTCTTTTATGTAAATCTCGCTCCTAGTAAAAAATTAAAAAATTTTTTAAAGTAAAGTTTATTTAAAAAAAAGATTAGATTTTTTCGTCATTTTTCCGACACGGTTTTTAGTAAAATCAAATTAAGCTTTATTCATTGTTATTTTACGGTTTTAGAGGTTTTTAATTATATTTGCCTACAATATATAATATAATAAATTTGTTTTGCCATAATAAAAATTAATTTTCCACAAGTTTCTTACTACTTTAATTTTAACGCTCTTTTGTTTGAGAAAAGATAAAAATGTATATTTTTAAATTCTTTTTTTTGATGATTATTTTTACATGTTTTTATTTGACAAATATTCATTTTGGTCTCTTGAAAGATCACTTTGCTATCACTTTAAAATTACCGCCGTGCAAATGTTTAAATGGTTAAAATTAAAAATTGAATTTTTTGTTTATTTATTTAAAATAACATGATTTTATTCCTCTCGAAACGCAAAAATTTGACTGATTAATAAAAAAAGTTACTGCTAAAATAATTTAGATTAATACTTTCCGATTAAATAAGACTTTACTTTTTATCTTGGATTAGTATCCTATGATAAGTAAAATTAATTTGGAATGTGGATTAATTTGGAATTTGGATGTAAGAAGCAGAATGTTTCGGCATAAATTTAGATTATAAAAAATTAAATATTTCGTATTTAACATAAAGTTATTACAAACTAATAATCGCTTATTATTATATCACAATTGAAATATTTACGGTATACATTGAATTAAAACTGTAAATACAATAAAATATTTATTGAATTACTGAAAATTGATTCAATGAATTCTCATAATAATTTATGATATATATAATATATATTAAAAGAGATATTATGAGAATATATATATATATATTAAAAGAATTCATTGCAAGAATAAATATGTCATATAAATAAATTCAGTTATCATATCAATAAAGTAACTATATTAAGTCGAAGATTAAATCAGACATTGATTAACGATCACTCATTGGATTAAAAATGACCAAAATTTTTTTCAGTGTCGATGAGTTGTGTGTATGCGTAATAAATCTAAGAAATCGAAGAAATAAAACAAAAACTGTGCAATAAAATTTATTCATCAGAGAATATTTAAAATGTGTAACGAATAAATTATTTTATTTATTTCGTAGTATGCATTAAAATTTTGACAGTTGAATAATCGGTGCACGGCCTTGTTTGTTTAATGCGAACGCGACGCGCGGCGATCGGTCGGACGGCGCGTCATGTTTACAGGCAATTATCACGCATTCATATACCGAGCCACGGAGGCTTGTGCATGGGCGGGTAGTCGTTCCACATTTTCTTTTGAAATGTAATTACGTAATCGCGACAAATGCTAGATAACATGAAATGTCTACATTTACATAAAAGCTGCATTTGCGCATAATGAGATTGATTAATCAATGAATTAAAAAACGCTCTATCTCGTATTTCTTTCGGTTGTTTTTGAGCGCTGACGTTCTGATTATCAAGGTTGCAACGATCATATTCTATGAATCAATCGCGCAATAACGTCATGCACTTTCTGATCTTATACATCTTTCAAATACGAGTATACATTTACAAATTTTTTTACTTTCTCGGTATTGAGTTATTATAATTTTTCTTGCTCTACTTTATTGCCACTTGTGCAATGGCACTCGTGACTTCATGAATACTCACGGTATACGATTATTAACTTGCACGATTAACTATTCATGAAACAATTGAGATGACAATCATGTATTACGGAATTAATAGATATTTTGTACGATTCAATCATTTAGAATCAAAACGCAATAGAAAGATAGGATTTATTATTATTTTGCGAAAATTAGGGACAATAATTATTTTTATTTAACAAAAAAGTTTTCTTTTGCTTGAATATAACTCTTGATTATACTTTAAACGGTAACACACGAGTCATAAAAAAAAGCAACGTTAATATAAATATCCTTAAGCAAATAACATAATTCCACAAGCGATTCCTATTTTCATTAATATATAGTTTATATAACTAATAATTTAATTAATTTTTCGTTTTTGTGCGTCTTTTGTGATGATATCTTCCCTCTCACAGGGACGTTGATGTGATGAAGGGCTCAGTACTCCGAAGATATACATAAAAAGAACGGTTTAAAGTATCTTAATCAGTCCACAATATTTAAAAAATATTTTTACATTAAATAAATATTTTAAAACCATTCTGTGCTGATTAGAATCTAAACATATACACACATTTTCGGATCTATCTGAATTATATATATCTAAGTAAATTTTTAGATATTTGAATAAAATTGTTCTCTTCGTGTAAAAATCCAGTGGTCTAATTTCCACCGAGAGTTTAAACTGGATCAGAATGTAAGAATCAACCAACTACATTGAACGGCAATGCTCGACTGTACTAGGCCAATGACGGAGAAGCTAACGTATACTCGTCGCCGATTTAATTGAAAGAATCGCAGCTTTGTCGCGTCGCGCATTTGCTTCGGGAGTGCCGTTGACGTTATCGGACTAATTGACTTTTCACAAAACCCATTCAATGGAATTTTAGTTTTGATAATGAAATCAATCTTCGATATTTTGACAGTAAGAGGAACTCTCATTGAAACGTTGTTGCATGAAGTGGCCACTACGATCACTGAAACTCTCACGTCAAGTGCTCTGGGCACGAGGTGATGCCGGGCGCGTAATATCATGCACTCCGCAATGGTGCAATGTTCGCGTGATTTAGCAACTACTGTTGCTGTCGGCTGATCGAGGACACGCTCTGTCTGTTGACAAACGGTTCGGCCTTTAGCGGTAAGAATTCGATCGATTGACCCGGATTCGTCACTCAAAAAGAAGTTGCATTACTCTGATTAAGGCACTCATTTTTCTGTCTTTATCCATTAGCGTCTTAATCGCATTTATTCTGACTTAATTTAAGCCTAGTTCTTAATTTTGCTTGTGACGAGCAGTTGGATTCTATTTTCTAAGTTGTCTTGATTGTTAGATCAGCAATGGATACCAACTTTTCTCTTATTACAGGCGCTCGTCACGTTTACCAGGTATAATAAATAAAATTAATTTTCCATGAGCTTTTTCCCTTTAATATTAACGTTTTTTTGGGAGAGGAAGTGATAAAAATACATATTTCTTCTTTTTGATGATCATTTTTACATTTTTATTTAATAAGTATATATTTATTTGGATCTCTCGAGCTATCATTTCAAAATTATCGCGGCATAAATGTTTAAATGGCCGCATTTAATTTGAAATCTACGCAGAATCGTATGAAATTTGTCTCAAGAACAAACACACTTGAATTTCTTTCACTATGGTTTAACCATTAATGACAAGTTTATTAATTGACAGTTGCAGTGTACCATATAAATCGTACGTGTTACAATTTTTGTTTGATAACACACTTAATAATACTCGTTTCGTTTACAAATATACAACAAATAAAAATTAATCATGCTATTTTAAAAAAAGATATATTGCAAAATGCTTTAAAATAATTACGCCAATATTTCGATCATCCATTGACAGTATAGGCTAGATTCCAAATCTATATAATATGAATTAAAAGAACGATTGCATTGAATTTAAAAGTATACAATAGAGGATAATTTATTTAAGAAATGTAAAATTAAGACATAAATAATCACGTAAGTAAAATATTTTTTAAATTTGTTAAATTATTTATTTAATTATGTATCAACCTTCTTTCCGTACATTTTTTACGTATATATAAAGTACATCTAAATATAAATGCAACTTATACTCATTAAACTTAAATCTTAAGAATTTATTTTATCTAAAATATAACTAACTTATATACATTTTATCTATATATTAGCATGTATACAAGAATATGGACTGGGTTTGAACTAAACAAAATTATTTCTATAATTGTCATACACGCACTTGACTTATTATTGCTTCTTATATTATTGCCATTTATGATGTGGAAATGGATTTCTGAAAGGCCATATATAATAACGATTTTGAGAGCAGTCATTGAGGTAATGTTTAATAATTATTTAATATTTTGGTTATTAAAACGATTAAATATTCAACATATTCATTTTTTAATCTTTTTAAAATATTTTTTCGATATTTCTATCTATTATTTGTATATATATATATTTTTTCAATTTATTCAAAATTTGTTATATTTTTTTTCGCAGGTCACTTTAGAGTTGATTATGTGGATTATCTTTGCTGGTGTAGCAATACTTACCACTCTAATTTTTGTATTTGATGATGTATATTGCAATAAAACATATTGTGACAACCAACAAAAATATTTACATGTTGCGCAATATGATAATAATGATAAAAATTCTCATATTGTAAAATCTTAAAATTAAAAGAAAAAAAATTTTAAATACACATAAATAAAATTAAAACAAAATTTAAACTGTTTAAAATTTTGATTAAAAATAAAGATTGTTATTTACAGCTTTCCTTCCTGAATCACATATCATTGTTGTTATTGTCAATAATTAATTCAATAATTAATTCATTTTTAGATGTAAATACGTAAATTGCTTTGCAACCGTATTTATTTCTTTATGAATATAAGTTTGACTAAAATGCCGAATAGGGGGAGCAGCTCCGATGATTTTGACCTTAACACATGTTGTTACCATAGATTTTATTATTATAAATTTTAGCATATTTCTTTTATATAATTTATATTTCATTTAAAATATTAATTTTTGTTACCATTAAATTAGAAAAATTAATCTCCGAATCCACAATATTTATTTCAATCAACGCGTTTTATAATATGCATCAACAAATATGTATTATCTTGTGTATCATTATTCTTAGCCTCATTATATTCAATTCCTAACTGCTAATTTGATGCTTATTAACTTCCTTTCACACCATCTTGATTCTTGTTCTATTTCTCATTATTCATGTTTCTTCTCATCTTATTACGCAATATCTCTGCTACAATCCTTCTGTATAATTTTAGTTATGATTTTAGTTGTGTTTCTGACTTTATAATATTAATCAGACGTACAAAAAAATAATGGAAAAAAATTATGAGAGGAGGGAATTCTTTATTCTTCAGATTAAAGAATATCTTTCAATTAAAGTGGCATTACTATAATTAGGATTGAGACCGTTACTTTACAATTATAATACGTTACCGTTATTAGGATTGAGAACATTACTTTTTCTTTAAAAGATAACTTGTTATCGTTATTCATTACTAATAATCTGGAGATATGGTAATGGCTCGGCGCTAAGAATGGCACAAGACACTGCCTTGTTTACGCGAGTCAAAGTTGCGCCAGATCGAGATTATCGGATCTCAATAATATCTCGATTAAGTTTAAATTTAAAAGTGATGTCATGCATTACTATTACCCACAATTAGGAATTTACGATTCGTTACGTTTTTACTCGAGACATTTTTTGTTACTTTTGTGTAATATGATAATAAAGTAAGACATTAGATTTTATAATTATATTATTAATTAATATTAAATCTTAAAAGCTAATTTCTGTACAAAATGTCTCGAAATTCACAAATCAAAATAAAACAAGAAAGTTCTGGAAAAAAGAATAAGTTAAAAGACTATTTGCCATTCAATAGCCGAGCAATAGTTTTTGTTTTTGAAATATAAAAGTTTAAAACAATTATAGATTATACAGTTAAACGATCTTGTCTATCCGTGAGTTATCACATGCAATTACTATAACTGATAATTGATTCATAGATAGATAATCAGCCATTTAACCGTAACCTATAATTGATTCAGTTTTAAATCATAATGGTTACGTTTACAACGTGCGCTTAATTCGTGGCCTAAATTATATATTAATTATACTCAAATTCGACCTAAATTATTTAGGCCCCATGCTAAAACTTGGTCACCGACGAGATACTATTAAAGACTTTCGGCCCTGAGTAAATTTTCGTGACTTGCCCGGGGGTAATTGAAGAACGATGATGTTACCAATAATTAATAAAAATTTATTTTTATTAATATAAATTTTATTATCATTAAAACAAGGTTCCACAATAATTGCTTTCCATTTACACACAAGTGAAATTGAGTCGAAAGTGATCTGAGTATTTTATACTAATCAGATTAATAACGTCTCTACTCGCTTTTTTTGGTGAAAAGTTATAACAAGTGAAAAGTCATAACAACACAGATTAATAACGTCACTTTTAGAATGAGTTTCGGTAAAGCACACGGTCTCGAGCTTATATAGATTGTAAGTAAAAACTCAGTTGAATCTCACTTCTCACTCTCAGATGCAAAAGGAATGTGCAATTCAATGTGTTTCAATTGAGTTATGACAAGCATTATCAAAAATGAGAATTATCTGAAAATCGGTGTAAATGGAAAGCAACTAATACTACACAATGCTTCCCAAACACAACTTTTAATACTTTTCCAGACTTTTCCTTTACAGTTAAATCGACGAGCATGATATAAGACAACTTATAGTAGGGAGAACACGGTGCTGCCGCCTGGGGCTGTGGTACTTGTATTTGAATTATACAACTTCCGTGCCCACTAAAATATACGGAATTTGTATCACTCCCTAGTTAGGCCTCATTTTTTAACAGTCTAACGTAAAAAGATCGTTTGCTTTCTGTAAATATGTGAAATTTGTATAAAACACGAGATGGCGCTAGGTAATTCGGATTAGGACAGTTATATGACAATTAAAGATGTATGTCCGTATATTCAAAACGCGCTTTTATCTATATATGTTTTTATATCTACAATTCTGTAGTATACGACATTATATGTCAAAAGTATGTGCTAACGTAGAAGCGCGTTCTAAATACAGATCTTAATATTTATAATTGTCACATGTCATGTATGTCAATGAATTAATTGACTGCGCTGCGTAGATATTTATAGGCAATAGCTGTTATTGTATGAAATGTTACAGATTCCCATATTTTCTTTGAGATTTTTCGTCTAATTTGAAACAAGTTGTTAGTATTAATTTTCGAATATCTTTAAGAAAATAAAAACTAGTTTTGGATTGGAAATTAATTCTAAATATAAGATTTTATTTCGTATAAAAGTACATAAAATTAGAAACACGAAGATTATCAGATGTAAAATATTTAGCGAGCAGTTTATATTATGTTATATTATGTTATTTAGTTACAGACTTCCAAGGTCGTAAAGACATAATCCCTTTAGAAGATGTTCTTATTCCTATAGGCGTTTCTCACAATATTTTTCTGATAAAACGTGCTACGTGGGAAACTAGATAATGATTATACTATTAAAATTCCAAACGGATAATGTAACATTAACGTTATCAAATTTTACTATAATAAGAATTTCATAAAATAAAATTTTTATAGCAGAATTTTTAATTATTGTTATTAAATTATAGAATATTTACAATTAGAGCAATTACATTGATAGCGATTATAGCGAATATTACGGTCGCAGTAGCTATAATATACGTTCGCTGATAGTTAGATTATTGATTAGATTTGCGTGGCAAAAAATATTGATGAGTGAACAAATTTTTGCATAAAGCTGCATAAGGTGTATAAGACTCATGACCATTCTACAATAAGCTATTATTCATAAATTAAAAGTTAGAAGCTGGAAATTGACTAATCACAGTCTTCAATTTCCAACTTCTAACTTCTGATTTATGACTAATGGCTTATTGTAGAATGACCATGAGTCTTACGCGTTATGCAGCTTAGATATATGGTATAGAAGACCCATAAGCCATTGTGGCCATTCTACAATAAGCCATTAGTTATAAATCAGAAGTTAGAAATTGGAAATTGACGACTGTGATTAGTCAATTTTTAGCTTCTGACTTCTGATTAACTTATAATTAACATAAATCAGAAGTCAGAAGCTAAAAATTGACCAATCACAGTCGTCAATCTTTAGCTTCTGTCTTCTGATTTATGACTAATGGCTTATTGTAGAAGACCCATAATGGCCGCAGCACGGACTCTTGCATAACGCATAATGCATAGTGCATAAGGGAATCAACCAATCGAAATTCTTCTTTTCCGTGAAATGGGAGGAAAGGAAAGATTCTGATTCTCTTGCAAGAGTCTGTGCTACGGCCATAAGGCATAAGAAAATCAACCAATTACATGCATTCTACAATAAGCCATTAGTCATAAATCAGAAGTTAGAAGCTGGAAATTCCAATCACAATCGTCAATTTCCAACTTCTAACTTCTGATTTATGACTAATGGGTTATTGTAGAATAGAGTCCTTCATTTCATACTCTGATTGGTTGAATCTCTTATACTTTATGCGTTATACAGCATTATACAAAAGTCTGTGCTGCGGCCTGTAATCGACAAGAAGTAGACTCGGTGTACTACACTCACTCCGATAATCTATCTGCCCCACTCACTTCAGGCGAGTACGAACCGGGAGTTCATCGCATCATTATATGACGCGTTGTATAGTCTCAATAAAACTTCCTACGAGGTCATACGTGGAAACACAGTCGAGTCACGATAAAGCAACGTGTTTTAACGCACACTTTGAATCAAATACTGATTGAGTTATTTTTTTTTTCATAATATTTTTTTTTCTTGTTTGTAATACCCGAGGTAAAAATGTTACACAGCAAATATTAATCGACACCTGTCAGTGCAAGTCACCACGATTCAGTCAACAATCGAGTCGAGTGTGAATGTGTAAATACGTGAATAAATCAAAGTGGAATTTTCAAATTTGCTGGAAAAGAGTGAACTATCATGAAATACGTCGCGGCACTCGATGTTGGTACCACTACAATACAGTTTCACATTCTAAATGAGAAGGCAGTCACAGTGGCTTCTTCGACGGAGAAGGTTTGTTGTGGTTAATTGTCTATAAAAACTCGGATGGTAAATTATAAACATGAAACACGAATTTATATTTGAACATAGACTTCAAATAAAACTCACAAATAACAATCAAGAGCTAATAATCCGAGCTGGATGTTTTTGCTAATAAGAAATTTAATATCTATATATAACCTGTACAAAAATATTTAAACAAACGTTTTTCAACCATATAACAATAAATCATTTGTTACATTAATTTAAATTAAAATTAAAATAAAACAAAAACCGAAACAAAATGCATAATTATAATTCCAAATTTTTTTTATAAAACTATGTATTCATACACACGCAATAATATATTTTATGAACTTGATTCCATACGGATGGCGGTCGCATTGCGCGTTATTAATAATCATCTGTGCTTCTTATGAATTTGCATAACAATGCGATAGTTAACGCTGTGTACATTTTTAAATTGGA